TATATATATATATATATATATATATATATATATATATATATATATATGCAATAATAATAATAATGCAATAATGCGGATCGCTGTTGACATGATGCGCTCAACATTGTGTGTTGTCATGGTCTGATCTTACTGTGTGTATCACCAGTACAAGTCATGAATTGTGTTAATAGGGCTTTGGGCGTGATGGTGAATGTTGATTTGCTGTTAAAACAGCTAATGATTTTAGAAATTCGTAGAAATATTACCCTTTTCAGCAATATGTAATAATTTGCTACTCATTAATATTTGTGTCCACATGTGGTATGCAATATCTGTATGAAAGTCGATCCTTGTGCATTGGATGATCTTGATGCAATATTAGGTTGCCGAAATGAACGTTATCTTTGGCAATGTACATTTTAACAAACTTACATACATTTCTAATGATATGCACGACATATCGACTTGCTGAGTTAATACATTTATTAAAATCTCACAAACAATTGTATATTGATATGTGAGTGCTTATCTCACAGATTTTTGAAGCACAACATTGTTTGACAACTAAAAGCAAACCAGCTTCATTTAAAGTGGTTCTTTAAAATAATATGGCTCGATTTCATGAAATGGCAGAGGTCAAAAAACACATGAGAAGCAAGAGACAAGATAATTGTGTTTTACCACACAGTTCGCCATTCTTGTAACAACCATTCAGGCTACGTTCATGTTTTCTCATGCACTTGGCAATAATACATGGTGGTACATATTTGCTAATTGCAAGAATTATTTAAGTATATTAACCTGCATTTCAAATTACCCAATGTATCTCAATCAATGTATTTGGGTGTATGCTTACGTGCATTTCACTTGTTCTTGAAACAGCGACATTTATATCAGTAAATATAGACTTTGTAAATGTAAATTTAGTACATAAATACGTTAATGTACGTGTGACGTCATCTAGTGTTCAGTTAGCTTTGTAATTAATATACAATATTACCACATTTCAGCTTCGAAACAGTAAGATGTATGTCATATTTAGATTCCAGCAAATTGTTATTTGTATATTAGTATTGTGGGTGAAAATAACCAAAGCAGGATTGAAATATAGCTACAATGTATTATAGAACAGACGATTAAAATTAGATTGGATTGCCGCCATCTTGAATCTCATAGTACGAGTATAGAATATCTCCGAATAAACATTTTACAATTAAGTATCCTTATAATAAATAATGATTCAAGGTTTTATCGAATACTAACAAATATTGTATTTGTCGGATTGGCCGATTTACCCAACAATCTGGAGATTATTTTGGTAAAATAACATACTTATATGAACACGTGATATCATTGATGCCGTACAATGCGTTTGCCGAAATACGTACTACTAACCATACTTCATATTATCTCAATAAATTTAAGTGAATTGAATATACATGTTTTTATTAGTAGTTTAGATTAATATTTGAATTGCACCGACTACGACATATAGAAAAACAAATATACCAAATAGGATTAGTGATCTAGAATATATATTATAGAGTATATTTATATATACGCATCAATAATAAACTGGCAAAACTGAATATGTACACTGAAACACATATCAGCGATTCATACCTATCAGATTGCCCCTGCACACCATCATTTCCTTCACCTGAGTTAGTCTCAGCAATATTATGCACCGACTGCCGGTCGACAGGTATTCCATCACCTGTTTTCCCCTTCTCTACATCCATTTTCCTGTGACTGCTTCGATCCGTTAATCCAAATTCATTCAGGCTGCTGGTAATATTTGAATCAGCCGGTGTGCTACTATTGTTCCTGGTGAAACTGCGCCACCAAATGTCGGAAAAAGCGAGGAAGCGTGAATTCATATTCTAAAAAACTGTAACAAATCACCGTAAGTAAAAAAGATTTTATGATTTTATAATTGCGTAAAATATTAAGACATAAATAAAATGCTTTTATTCACATCCTTTTTCTGAAACATCGAGATTATTGACCAAACGTCGGACAAAGTAAGCAACGTCATACATTTAACCTTGCTTAAGAACATAATTGTTATCCAGACAATGTATAGTACAATGGTTTGCCAAATACATTTGCTAAAAGTTTGTTCGATCGTGATTTTACACAATTTTGATTGAAATTTCGATCTTACTTACCAAATGTTACACAAATTCAAGTGCTTGATCAATATCAAACCACGGCTTTGGTATAGAGTGTTGGTTTGTATTTGTCGCACTATTTTCTTGATGAATAAACTTCACATGGAACACAAAAATGATTGCTGTTGCTTTAGGTATTCAAACAATACTTGTAGCACCGTCAAAAAGAGGTGTACTGTTGAATATCATACATATTATGACAGAATTGTTGCACTGCGTGGCAAGTGATTGCCGGATTCCTGTTTACAGATGTTACCTTCCACAGATATATGCGATTTCACAAACAAAATGACAACATTTTGGAAACAACTTGAAAACTTGTTTTGGTTTCTGTATTTTCCAGTCTGATCGCAAAAGTGATATTTTGAAATACTATTCTTTAACTAGCAAATACTGATTTGAAATTCAAGATATTTCTTCAAACAATTACTGTGGGAATCATTAGAGTAGACACATTCTATATTCTAATTTCTCAATTGATAGAGGTTTTGAAGATTGCAAGACCTGAGATGAATAAACCACAATATAGCGCCCGCCGGTGTTTCCAACTCATACTAAACAATAATAAAACTTCCATATTTTTTCAACTAACTAAGAAATGAAAACTGAACATGCAAATTATCTAGCGTAATATTTTCATATCTCTTTTTCAATTGTTTGAGGCAAAAGTGAAAGTTTAACTTTTCCAGTATTTTTCGATCATTTTTTTTATAATTTTGGACCAATTTCTTGGGTAGTCTTTCCTCAAACTGAATTTTACTTCTGGTCCTCACAGTAGCCTTTTGTTTTCAATTTTCCTCGCACTTACTAATGTCTGCACTTGTCAACTTATCATTTCGTTTGCCTTCCAGTTGGGTTCTGAATTCATGGTTTATCTAGCCCCTGATATGTTTCAAATAATTTTTCATAAACTGAGTCATTCACACATATTTGCCGATAAGCCATACAGTGTAGTATGAAGTATCTATACATGTATGAACAATAGGAAATTGTCTGACAGTTCTATCTATTACCATGCATGTCATTGAAGTACCTGTCATTTGATTGGGTTCTACATATTGGTTTTTACGACAGTCCCACTACATTTTCTACCCCTTATTACCTGAACAATATGGTATACTCTCAGTAGCATTTTTATGCACAGCAAAGTTTAATTTCAAATAACATCTAGGACTGAACTGGTTAAGATGTCACATTTAACATCACACACATTACAACTAATATAGAGCATATGATGTCCTTTCAATCACACACAAAAATATTGTATGAGAGAAAAACAGCAATGTGCTCGTTCATACTAACACAACTATTATAAGTTGGAACACAACATACCTTTCAGTGTTTTTGATATCAACAATTCTAACAAAACACTATCGCAAACTCCGATTACACAAATGCAGGGAGCTCAATGATTTGGGCCCAACGAAGAAACCCATAAAAAAGAAACTTGCAAAAGTCTACATACGACTATATCCAACGTATATTTTTTTGTTTAAAATATTTATTATTTATATATATGTCATTTTATGTAATATCAATTCTTATTTGTTTATTTAAAAAAAAGAAGTAGCGATGATATTGCCAACCTTACATAGAATAATGTCTTCCGAGAAGCAATGCCAAATATAAGGTACTTTTCTCTAAATGAGGATCAACAAAATCTGCAAACATTTGATGGCAGCTATGCGCTGGAAATAGCATATTATAAATGGACGTAATTTCAGTGATACATGTTATCTCTTCGAACACACGAATGAAAGGTTTAAAAATTGGATTTTTTATATTAGAACTCACAGGCAACTGTGTGTTTTTATTGTAAAATATTACACGAAAACCTGTACATCTAACAGTTGCCTGGGCGTGTGCATTCTGGTTTATTGTAAGTCTAATATTTGGTGGCAGACGTCATCAGATGAATGACTAGGAATTTTGGGCTTTTTGCCCAAAATCTAAAATTGCGGCAGACCCACGTAACTGCCTTCTGCTTTCTGAAGGGATTTAATGAAGAAATACAGCTTGGCAAATGTTAATTAATAAAATAAATGTGGCATTAGTATATAACTACTCCCTGTTTGAATAAAATGCAAGATGGCGGCTAAACCACGTGACCAATCAAAAAGGGTTTTGCCAATTTTAGTGAACGTTATACAAAAATATTAAATTAGTGTGTTCAGTAATTCAGTTGAGTAGTGGAAAAGATTTCCAAGAATTTTTTCGGGAAAAAAACATTGCGCGAAGATCACTAGATTGCTTAAGATGTTATTCCCTAGAACATAAGACGTAGTTAACGTGAAAAGGCGTAGTACGTAAAACGGAAAAGTGTGTATATATATATATATATATATATATATATATATATATATATATATGTATATATATATATAGTCGACTATGTAGTTATATAGTCGATATTACTACAGTTAAATTTATTCTATCGTGGCCTAATATTTAAATAAATATTATATTTAATAATATTTAAAATCAAAATAGATATATACAACTGTGCTATGAAAATAAGATACATATACCCTCTACGTTTACATATTATATAGCTCAAACAATATTTTCAAAAAGCAATTTTACCTTACATTACATTGTGTTATGGAAACGTGTGCTATTATAATATTCAAATTAGAATAGAGATACTCAAACCTGTTAAAAATCTGACCAGAGAAAATTCGAACAGCATTGAAAATAACAATTTCAAGGAAATTGGGGTACATATGAAATCAGACTTTATTCAGACTACAT